ACCCTGTTGGGGAGAGAGCGGGTCTTGAGGTGGCGGGGCAGGAGGGCTGTGCCTGCTGGGTCTCCCCACGCCCACCTGGGTACTGAGTGAGTCACCGTAGCCCGCAGCATCGTAGAGATAGAGGGACAGGTCACCAGGAGAAGACAAAGTGGCCCCCAGGGCGCATCTGCTGATGGACCCAGAGGCCCTGCTCTCTGCCCCTCGGGCTGTGGGAGCAGCCATGCTGAGGGGCCCCAGGCCTGGGTTGGCGAGGGGACTAGGAGTTTGCGAAGAAATGGAATTGAGTTTATATTGGTGGAGACATTTTTTAAAACGCACGCATATTTGTTTCACAAAGTGTATCTCCATGAACGTTTCGAAGACCCCTCCTGCCTTCCGGTGCCTGCCAGCTGGGAGGAGCCATCCCACACCTGAAGCGTTTTTGTGTGCGCTTTTCCGAGCATTTGGAAGTGGCTGCAGATAATTTGAGAGCTGACCCAGGGGGAAACGGTGTTGTTGAAGCAATTACGCAGCAGGAACCCTCTTAGGTAGACCTCCAGGGTGTCGTAAACCTGGACTTGGGATGCATAGAAATCGAGGAAGACCCGCTCTGACCTGTGTGGGGTCCTGGCTTTCTGTGGCCCCGGGTCTGTATCCCAGCCTTTGTGCAGAGAGCACAGGGTTAAAGACACACTGGCTAATCCTGGCTTCGATTCTCAGAAAACTCAGTTTCTGGCTTTGCTGCTTGCTGGCTGGGGGTCACGTTCCCTAATCGGATCCCCAGTGTGCTCCATTCCGTTGCCAGCAGAAATGCCCGAGTCTGGGAACTGAAGAGAACGTGGCCGTTGCTTGCTGTTGGGACGTGCATAGTCCGGGGCCGCGTGTGACAAGGACTCTGGCCGCCACACATGCCGGAAGGCAAGAGCACGTGGCCTGTGTCCCCATGTCGCGTGTCTCTGTGCTGGTCTCCTCCCCTCCCCTTATGAACAGCCCCAGGAGCCTGTCATGGCCTCAGGCCCCACCTCCTTCCAAAGGCCACCTTTCAGCATGGCGGCCATTCAGTTTTCACCCTCTGATCCTGTTACAACCAGTCTTGACTCATGGATTTGGGGACACTCAGACCAGGGCACCCAGGGGCTCTAACATCAGATAGGGACAAGTTTCCTGCTTGTCCTCCAGGAATCAAGTGCTCGGCCAGGTACATGTGTCGCACCTGCAGCCACTGTCCGCTGTCCCTCTGCCGCGCCTTCTTGGGCTCCATGTAGGCCTCGCCCCTGGGCTTGGACAGCGTGCCCCCTGCTTAGTTCTGGCTGGCTTGGTGTGTCGCCGCTTTCTTGGTGCAATGGGTCGTGGTCATTTCTGCCTCCAGTGGATGAGGGGAGACTGAGTCTCAGTCACACTTCCAGGGGCCGGCAGGTGGCGTGGTGGTTAAGGCACTGGACAGTCCCACATGGCGACCATGGTTCAACTTTCAGACCTGGTGGCTTGCTTTCTCATTTTCCTTCTCTCTCTTTCTCTCTGTCTTTGGTCACATTAAAATAAATGAATGGATAAATAAAATTAAATAAACAAATATTAAAAAAAAGAAGAAGAGTCACACTTCCAAAGGCCTTCGCTTTCACTGAGGCCCAGGCCATTTGTGGGACAGTGACTTGCCCGGAACAGTGATGTTTTGTGTCCCCACGCTCTGTGTGCCCCACACGTGGAGCCCAAAGCCTGGGTGTCCCTGGGTTACGGTAGCGTGGCGGGGGCGTAATGACGTGTACACGCCAGGCCTGCCGTTCGAGTGTTCTAGCTGAGAGTGAACCTGCCCGCGCGGTATTCCTGGTTTTACATCTTGTCGTTAGAGCCGTTTACCAGGTACCTGGGGAAGGACTTGCCGCGGTTCATGCCATTGTACCCGCATATTTATAGCCACTTTGTAGACGAGGAAACAGTGCAGAGAGCTCGGCGACTTGCCCAGAGTCACCGGCCGTGCGAACTGCGGCCTGGACATGCGAGCCCGCCGGGCCTGTCTGCTGCTGTACCGCCGCTCGGTGATTCTGCAGTGCTGGTTGGTTAGCGGCTCACACAGGCTTGCTGCGGTGACGTGACAGCCAGGGTTTGGGCAGGCCTACCCCTGGCCACTGCCCTGTTCCCGTCGTGAGCACACACCCAGGGTGGATGCTTGGGTCCTGGAGAGGAAATAACCACCAGGTCAGGTCTCTCTGGTCTGGAACGAGGAGGCTCGATTTCCTCCCGATGGCTGCTTATGTCGCTGGTTAAATTACAACCACACGGGAGGTGGTTAACAGCAAGTCACTGTTGGCCCTGCTCAAACTTTCGCATGTCCCTTCTCAGCTCTTAGTAGGGCAGCGTCATTGTTCTATTTTCAAGTTAACCTTATGGTCTCGTTTTTATAAAATGTTTATTCTGAGGCCAGCAGGCAGTGTGGAGATTACGGCGTTGGACTCCCACATGGCTGACTGCGCGCAGTTTGAGTCCCAGACTTGAAACTCTCACCAGGCACCTGTGTGTGTCCAAAACCCAAAGAGGAGAACAGAGAAGGGATTGTGGCATGGCCATCCCTTCTGGGGGTGCTTTCTCACTTTCCCTGTCTATCTCTCTGGCAAGTGCTATGGCAAAAACCTTTAAAAAAATTAATTCATTGATTTCTTCCATGATCAAGCCAGAGAGAGAAAGACAGAGAGCTCGTACCTCCGAGAGAGTCTTGATACCACCGTCCAGCCCCCCCAGCCCCAGCCCCTGGGTGCACACACTCAGTGCGCTCGGGGCGGGTCTCCAGATGTGAACCCCGAGTCTTCTCGTTCAGGTCTGTTTTGCAGGGCACCACCATCTGCTCCTAATCCTCTCCTCTTCGTAGCCTCGTGATAGTCTGCAGGGGTGACATCATTTACTTGATTATTACACATCTTCCTGCAAATAAAATAACCTTTTTATTGTGGGACCGCTTCTATTGGGTAAACTATTTTTTAAATTTATTATTATTATTATTACTTTTAATTTGACCAGAGAGAGAGAGAGTGAGAGAAGTGAGAAAGCAAGCTGCCAGGTCCGGTACTTGAACCGCACGCAGTTAGCCATGTGGAAGTCCAGTGTCTAACTACCACGCCACCTGCTGGCCCTATATCCTTTATTGGGTAAATTCTTTTTGAGGGGGTGGGGATGGGGTGGGGGGAGGTTTTTGCTATAGGGCGCATATGCTCACCGGAAAGACAGAGACAGAGAGTCAGAAAGTGAGAAGTCACCCGCAGGGGGGTGACCACCTGGCAGTCCCTTCTCTATTCCCCTCTCGGGATCTTGGGCACGTACATATGCCAGGCGTGAGTTTAAGCCACCGGATCCAGGCCTTAAACTGCCATCGACTACATGAGAGTCCAGCGACGTAACCATTAACCATCGACTAGGCCCTCCATTGGATAAATTCTAAAAGTAGAATTATTAATGCAAAGGATTTAAATATTTCCATTTTGTTTTCATATAACTTTTCAAAAGAGTCCCATTATTTATATAGTCACTTTCAGTGTCTTACCTGTCTTAGCCTCATTAAATGAGTTGTTAAATCTTTAAAAACCCACTGCTGTTTTAATAAGTAGCAACATGGCATCAGCCAAGCCTTAAATTTGAGAAGTATATTTTTCACGTTTGTTTACTAATTTATGCAGTCAGGAATAAACTCTCACTGTGTTGGATGGTGCACATTTTGCTAGTCGGTGTCTTTTTCATTTATAGTATTTATGGACTTTTAAATTTACTTAAAATTTTAAAGTCTATTTTATTTACTTTTAAAAACATCTTATTCTGGGGGAGCCAGCAGATGGTGTAGTGGTTATGTCACTGGACTCCCGTGTGGCTGACCACGGTTTGAATTCTGGACCCAGTGGCTTGGAAATCATGCCGGGCGTGTGTGTATGCATGCCCAAGATCCCAGGAGAATGATGGAAAAGGGATCGTGGTATGGCCATTCTTCCTGGGGGGGCGAATTCCTACTTTCCCTCTCTCTGTGTCTCTGGCGGGCATATGTGCCCTCTAGCAAAAAATTGCTCTTTTAAAAAAACAGTCAAGCCTGTTGAATTTGTCCTTTTTTGTTCTTTTTAAAAGGAGAATTGTTCTTAAAGGCTAGGCAGAGGAGTGAGAGAAGGGGAGAGGGTTGGATTTGGGTTCCGAGCAGCTCAGGGCCTGAGGAGAGGCCCCGGAGTTGGGAGAATGGCCAATGGCTGGTGGTGGGAAGCGGGGGAGCCTCACTTTTCCCTGGCCGTTGCTCTCACAGGCTGGATTCCCCGGGCGCCATGAAGCCGCTGCACCCAGCCCTCCACGGCTGCGTCCTGCTGACCCTGCTCAGCGTGTGGAGAGCCACTCCCGAGGCCCAGGCATTGTCCGCGAACACGCCAGCAGTCAGCGCAGCCTCCTTCCTGCAGGACCTCATGCAGCGCTACGGCGAGGGCGACAGCCTCACTCTGAAGCAGCTGAAGACCATGCTGGACCGCCTGAAAGTGGGAGTGTGCCGGGAGAACGCCAGCCAGCCTGAGCAGGCTCCGCGGAACCTGTCGGCGGTAAGGCCCGGCCTGGCAGGTGAACGGGAGCACGTGGTGTGGCTGCAGCACCCCTGGAAGTGGTCCGCGTCCGAGTCGGTGGGCAGCTGAGAGTGTGTGCCAGGAGGGAGGGACAGTCCCGGGCTCGGGCTCAGATTCGGGAGCGCAGAATCAGACTTTGTCAGCACACTGAGAGGCTCTTAGACATAGACCCGTAACGCCAAACCCAGAAAAGCACGGACGTGTCTTTTTATAAAACCTATTTGGGAGTAAGACTGCAGTGTGTCGCAGGAGTGGGACAGCCACTGACCTGATGCCTCCCAGGGTGACAGTGCTCATGTTCCGTGCCACCAGCGTTGGACTTTGGAACTTTCCTTCCCTGGCCTCTGTCGGCATATCCCCCAGGCTGACGCTGCACTAAGCGTCCCAGGGTGGGACTGATCCGGTGGCCCTGCTGTCTCAGAGCAGCCCTCCCCGTCCATGCCAGTGCCCCGACCGCCCCATTTGGAACCTGCCTGCTAACGTGGGAGCTCCCTGGGTGTTGTGAGGTGCAGCCAGGCTTGCAGTCCAGATGCAGCCTGTGTCTTCCGGCATGCACGTGGGACCGTGTTTTCCAGAAGCCACACCCTGGCCACAGCGGTTGGAACCTCGTTTTTAAATCCCTGGTCCATTTACAGGTGGTGTGCGTCGGTCACCCTGGGTCACTGCTTGGCAGGTTTTCAGGTTTGGGGCTCCCTGGAGTTCACCCTTCAGACATGTCCGCCTTCTCTCTGAGGGCTGAGCAGATTGCCTGGCGGAGCGTGCCGTGGGGTTCTGAGTGGCGCCGGCCCTCCCCTCGTTTCAGTGCTTCAGCTCCGGAGACCTCTTTGCTGCCCACAACTTGAGTGAGCAGTCCCGGATCGGGAGGGCAGCGTTCCAGGAGTTCTGCCCCACCATCGTGCAGCAGCTGGAGTCCCGGGCCTTCGCCCCCGAGAACCAGAAGCACGAGGAGAACAAGCAGACGGAGGAGGGCAAGCCAAGCGCCATCGAAGGTGAGGCGGGCGCCCGGTCAGCTCGTCCCAGTGGGGGGCCCCAGGGGCGATCGCACCCACCGTTCTCGTGTGCACAGGACCTGCTGGCACCTGCCGGACTCCTGGCCGCTGTGCCTGGTGCATGTTCCAAGTGGGTTCATTTATTTATTTTTTGGTAAGCTTTTTTTTTTTTTTAAATGTTTAGTTTTATTGTTATTTTAATTTGCTATAGGGCATGTGCATTCACCAGAGAGAGAGAATGAGCTAGCAAACTGCCGGGTTTGGGACTGAAACCGTGGTTGGCCGTGTGGGAATCCAGTGCCTTAACCACCACACCACCTGCTGGCCGCCCCTTTTGTAAACTCTGAGTTGTTTTTTGTTGTTAAGGAATCCACTTCTGTGACTGTCGTGAAGCCCAGGTTAAGTAAACAGTCATGGGCCCTGGCGGTAACTTCACCCGCCCTGAATTTGGGGGTTATAATCCCTTCTTCTCTCTCGGATTTTATGTTATTTTTAGTTTTATTTATGGCTGGCCCTATGCCTAGGGGCTAGGGGAGCCAGATCCCACACGGTTGACCATGTGGTTTGAATCCCCATCCCATCAGCTTGAAAAAAATGCCAAGTGCATGTGTGTGTGCCCTAAATCCAGACAGGATGGAGACATGTAGGAGACGGGATAGCGGGTGACTGCCCCACTGGGGGTGCCTTCCCCTGTCCCTTCTCTGGCGAACACACATGCCCTTTAACCAAAAAAAAAATTTTAATGGTTTATTTGCATATCTATTTATTCTACGAGTGACAGACACACCCCCAGGAGGGTCCTGGTGCTGACTCCCCCTTCCCCCCCGTGTCGGCCTGGACCCTGGGTGCATAGTGCCTGCATCAGGGAGGCCTCCGGGTGTGAACCGTGGGCCTTTCACATGGGACTGCCTGGCAGAGCGTGCCGTTTTTCCGCTGTGCCCGTGTCCTGCCCGTCGTTGCTCCTCTCTAGACCTCAGCCCCAAACCCAGACCCACAAGGCCTCAGCCCAGGCCTCCTACGGCTGGCAGGTGTAAGGCCTGAAGGCCAGCAGTGCCAGAGGCTTTTCCAAGAAGAGAGCTTCGTCTCTCCATCGTGCCGACCCCCGTGGCTGAACTTCTTGACCAGCCTTTGTAGTCAGTGCTTCTCTTTGGGATTTTTAAATTATAATTATTTTGTTTAACTTTATTTATTATTATTACTGTTATTTTCCAGTTTGATCAGAGAGAGAGAGAGAGAAAGAGAGGGAAAGTGAGAAAGCAAGCCACCAGGTCCGGGACTTGAACTGCAGTCAGCCATCTGGGAATCCAGCGTCCTTAACCACCACGCCACTTGCCAGCCCCTCTTTGGGACTTTTTGTTAAACCACGAGGGCCCAGTGGTTCAGTTTTCAGCTTAACCTTCAACACCACACAGGGGCTTTGTCCACAGCCTCCCTTTCCGGGTCGCTCTGCCTGGACCCAGTGGCCTCGCCGCTGTCATGAGCTTGCATGATCCCCTGGCCTGACCACCCCGGGTCCCGGGGCACGGTGAGCACCCCAACTCGGTACCTGGCACACGCTGCCTGCGTCGTGTCTCCCGTCATTTCCTGCGGTCCCTATTTAACCAACAGGGCGTTTACCTGCCTGTGGCGCCGGCAGCG